CTACGGAATGGTTTCTGCTCACCTTGTGGAGAGGCTCCTCGATTGCTCCGTCCATGCAGCGTAACAATTCATCACCCCCGGCCTCTCTGTGCCCCGCCCGTCGGTCCTCGTCCCGCTGCGCGCGTTGGGGGGTCCGGATTCGGCCTGCCCAAGGGAGGGGAGGATCGCGAGGCCGGGGGTGGGTGTGGGTGGGATCGACGGGTGTTCTTCTTCTCCCCTCTCCTCTCCTCTTTTTTATTCTCCGCTGTTTATTTTTAAGAAATCCGTGGTGGATAAAGAGGGGCAGGTGGTGACGTGGATCTCGGTGTCCTTTCGTGTCACGGAGCGTCCCCGATTGCGTTTTTCTTTTTTGAGGGATGATTGACTTTGTCGCCGATGCAGGCCTGGGCTTTTGCCTCGTGTGTGTGGCTCGCCGCTGCAGACTTGGGCTTTTGTATGCCATCAAATGTATTCCTGGGAAAATTCACTTTCTTTCCTGATAATTTAATTTTAGAAATCCTGATAATCAAATATTATCCTTTAGATTACAGCAATTCTTCCCCTGTTGTCAAAAAAGGAAAAAAAAACAGCAGTTTTCCCTCTTGTGACATTTGAGGCCAGCAACGAGGCATGATAAAAGGGAGCCGGATCCTCTAACTTAAAGAAGGGAAGTCACAGTGCTACAGTGCACCTCTAGTGTAAAATGAAGAAGGAATATTACAGACTATTAGCAGGTTATTTACTTTTGGTAATTACTGTAGATATAAAAAATCCAAAATTAATTTTATATCACCATCAACTTGTATGTATATAATTACTATAAATGTGCATACTAGATCTGTAATTTAAAAATTAATTTAAGTTATTTTAGCCTTAAGTGTATGGATTAACAGAAGGAAAGTTAGGGTACTGTAGCTTCTCTAACATCCCTTGTGTATGTTAGAGGATCCAGGTCCTGATAAAAGTACCGAACGACACAACACTTACAAAATAGAATGTGGCTGGAACTTACAGGATGAGGTTTACACTTAACTCTGCAAAGTCACAGCCTTACAGGGTATATCTAAAAGGGGGGGCATTCTATTCCCAGCCAATAGGTCAGTCTTGAAAGACAAT